GAGTGACTTTTTTATGACCAATGAGTTCTATAAAAACCAACAATATTTCCTCAAATGATCCATACCCATCCATACAGGGAATCCCGTAATTTCCGATCGAAGTAACCGTATATGTTGTTATCCAATTGTTGATGGTTCAAAAGTCATCATTTTTTTTTTCGTTTCCATAAAAAAATTAATCACAATAAAAGTATGTCACATTTGTGTTTTACGAATTTCATCCGCATGAATTCACCTTTCCCCAGAAATAATTTAATGACTTATGTTACTTCTCATCAATTACTAATGTAAAATTTTGATATCCTTAAGTTTTGTCTTTGAATGAAATATTTTTGTGGATTTTTAAATGCCGCTGGTAGATTCAAAAACTACCCCACGAAGATAACAAATTATAAGAAAAAGTTGCTATTTTGATACAGATTCCGAGATGGTTTAACATAATTATGGGGTTATTCAAAGCAGACATATTGATATTAACTTTATTCAAATGGGTCGCGTTTTTCAGAAAAATGTAATACCTTTTGAACCATCAACAATTTGATAACCACATAATATACTGTGAGTTTGATTGCAAATGACCCCCCCCCCCTACCACCCCACTTCTTTTGATCCATCACTTATGGGACACCCTGTTTATCTAATAGACTGACCAGCAGTGACAGATTTTTTGCAACGTTTTTTTAATGTATGCGACCTTCGAGTTATGATTCTCATGGATTTTCAACTTGTCCTAGACAATAATTGAACCCTATGCTAGAACAAAGTTGTAACCGCCAATATTTACAAAAACGATATTTCCACTTTATTTGATGAAACCATCGATAATTTTTCCTGTTTTCTTTTTTTTTTTTTCTCGTTTTACCAAAAAAATTTATTTGGCGTTTACAATAACGTTCTTCCAACATGTTAGGGTTTAACTATTAATTTGTGCTCGCATGAAGGTCACCATTCAAATTTGATTTTGCATTGAAAATTGATGATGTTGGGCGATTAGTGAACATGTGATGGAAAGAAGGGTATTTTAGAACAAGTATTTGGCGAATGGTTTCTGCAGACCCGTTTTTGGTGTTACTTGTATTTTACTGAGATTCACTGGCAAAGTTTTCGCGGGTCATTGCAAGGAATCCTGTTGGAGGCTATATAAAAGTGTACTGTTGGATACTGGTGCAGAAATGGTGATGTAGTGCCAGTATTCATGAAATGTTAGGTTGAGAGTTTCAATGGTTAAGTATGTGTCGATGAAAAATATATTTTATAATTTTCAAATACTTCGGGAAAATGTATGAAGTCGAAATAGAAGGTGTGCTGCCACTATAATCAAATTGATGTACTTAGAGTCTGGTGTTTCTGATGAATTAGAATCACTATCGGATAATGTCTTCTAAGATAATATGATAACCTCATATCATTCCATAGATAGTTCCAACGTGATTCAAGAAGGTAATTTTAAGAATGATGAAAATAAAAACCAACAAAACAAAACATCGAAAATCGAAAGATCATAGGTTATGGTTAAGTATTGCTGCCAATGTACCAATACTGCCGAAATCGTTCCGAAATGAGATGAGAATTCAAAGATACTGCTACCGTTTAGTGTTCCTGAATTGTCCGCAATATCGGAACATGACCATTTACTGATCGTTTGAAATCATCAATTATTTTCAATGCAAATTCGAATTCTAATAATGACGCCACTGCATGCGAGCACAAATTGATAATTGTTTAACACATGTTGATAACCCATTTCAGTCATTACTTGAGAGTTCCATACATTGAAAGAACATGGAAAAAATCTGTCACTACCGGCCAGTCCATATAATATTTGGGACAAAATGAGTTACGTTTATTTGATTCAAATTTACAGTTTTCAAGTGACATTCACTACTTCCGTGGCGGTTACGTTATAAAGACGTAGTTACATCTCAATACCTACTGAAAATAGGGAACAATTTACTTCAGGAAATGAATAAAACACATTTCGCAGATGATTTCATGATTTTTATATAATCTAATTATAGCTCAGATGTCCATATTTGTTGAATCAGCATGTCATCAGTTTGAAACTTGCCAAAATACGTAGGTATAGTAGTTATTTCCTAGCAATTAAATGAAAGGTTAATCCCCTTATCTATAAGTTGAATCAATCCATATTACTCCATGAACTAATGTTCTGCTCTCCTAGAAGGTGGTCTAGAAATGTCTATAACAAACTATAAGTAGGTACCTATATCATATATAGCTCTTATTCCCTACTTGACTTTAGAAACTTGAATACCTTTACATCATCAATCATCAAAATGCAAGTTTTGCTTCTTTTCCTTCGACTCCAGATCCAGTTATACCTATAGTCCCTAAGTGATATCAATGTAGTTAGTTAGCGAGAAACAACTGTTCACAGATTGGATGGAAACTTCTGGAAATCTCCGATCTAGTAGGATTTCTTGGGTTGGTTCAAACCATTCATACTGGTAAATGCTACCTACATGAGGCTTTTGGGCATAAGCAGCCTCAACTTATTGATTATCTGAAAAAAATCTCTTGTAGAAGATATTCCACAGAAGAGCATATATTTGGTAGAATTTTTTATCCGGAAACCAATTATTTGGCACCACTGCTCTCGTATTTTTCTGCATATTACTAATTATTTTTCTACCAAATGAATTGTATTCATGGACCCTTACCTATTGGTATCTACGCCTGAGAAATACTTGTAAATGGAACGAGTTTGTTGATCATTTATCATATTTGTGAGTAGCACAGAACCTGTCCATAGTCTTCATTTCCAACATAAGCTTCAATTAAAATAAAGTTTTCCACACAGAAAAAACAAAAAAGTAATAAATCCAATAGAAACAGAATGTGAACACATGAACATTCACAATTTGTCACGAAGTTGGAACCTCACCCGCGGCAATTCCAAATCGTCCAATAGGAAGACTTATACTCTGCTACCCATTTCAGTTACAAAACAAATCGCTTTAGAGGACTTATATATTCCTGTATGATCTAATAATCCGGTCAAGTTACACTGAAAAGTACGAGTGAGGTTACAAAAATTAGCAGCAAGCTGAAAATCAGTAGGATTGTTCAGAACACCATAATAAGTGGAATCTGAAAAGTCCTTATCGATCCGACACCTAGAAAAAATTTTACTCGGGGACAAAGGTCACAAAAACGGAATTTTCGCGATTTTCAGCGGAATGATGAGTTTAATCATAAAATTAGAAGAGAGAAACATTGTAGATCAGATAGTTATCTATAAAATATGTTCAATTACTTTCCATCCTTAGAGCCATCTTTTTCGAGATAACGATTCGAAAAGTTCAAAGAGTTGTAATCGTTGTATGCACACATTACCACGCCACCTTTGAGGTAGTGTACTTAACGCGTTTTGTCTTATTGAATATATTGGCAATGGTTGAAAATGATAAAAGTGATGAAAGTGTTGTAAATTGAAAAAAAAGGAAAATTTATTCATCCGATTCATCATTATCTAATACTTCTGTTTCCTCTTCTTATTCTTCTTGTTCTTCTCCATCTTCTTGTTCTTCTTCTTCTTCATCCGGGGAGCAAGTAAATTGCCCCAATAATGACACATCGCATGTCACCTCGTTTGTATCAAATGAATCCCCAATTGTTGGTGATTCAACATTGAAGCACGACCGGTCTTGACAATTTGAACATAGTACAAAACAAAATAATCCAACTCTTTTGCAACCACATTGTGTTTAGCAGTTTTTCCGGCGCAGATGGGAGTGAAGTTTGAATTGGTTCTAATGTATTGTCGACCAATTTCCAACCGCAGTCTTTTGGGTCTAGCTGATAACCAAGCAACACTTGAACTTGGTAATATACCCGAAAAAGATGTTGATGAGCAGCAGCTGAGGTAGACAAGCTAACTGCACTTGTTTTTCAATCCGAGTATTCTTAACGAAAAATGCATATCGAAACTTATCTAAGCACGTAGTTTTTCCAGGAGCTCCATACATGAGAGAAGGATGCAAATTCTGTTGGTGATGACTTTTTGTGGAGTTGAATTACTCTTTTTGAAAATTTCAGCACATTCAACTAAATCTTATTTCTCAAACATTTCAAAAACAATTGTTTCACCCCTCCTGCAGAATGCGGATGTACTGTCACAGCCAGTTATCGCATGTAGAAATAGAACATGATTTTAACATTTTGCGAAAGTAGATAAGCTTTTCGATGAATATATTACCGATTGCTGTTGTGCTTTTCCAGGTTTTAAAAACATGATTGTTTTTTCGATGAGAGTTCGAGCAGTGAGTAATACGAGTAAGTCTGCATCTTCACCTACAACAATAGTTGTATTTTTTGAGATGGATTGCTCTATTGCTGTTTCAATTATTATTACATCAGCATCATTATTATCTTGTTTTACCAAAATATTTTCAGCAGTCAACTTTTTTTCAACATTGAAAGTAACCGAGTTTTGTTGTGAGTATTGGCAAGAAATTTCTGTTGAGTGGTAGGAACTGTCATAGATTGATCAAATAAAATATCAGAAGATGAAGATGTTGGTGAAGTTCTACGACGTTGTTCTGCGGAACGTCTTCTAATGTCCTTGGCCACTGCGAATAGAAGCGTCGGGAAATATTTCCGCGGCGGCTAGTGAAGTGCGTGTGCATGTTATGACGATTACAAATCTTTGAACTTTTCGAATAGTTATATGTCAAAAACGGTGGCTCTTGGAAAAAAAATAATTGAACATATTCCATAGATAATTATCTGATCCACAATTTTTGTATGTACTAATTTCATGATTAAACTCACCATTTTGCTGAAAATCGCGAAAAACCAGTTTTTGTGACGTTTGACCCCTGGTAAAAGTTTTTCCAGGTGTCGATGAGGACTTTTTAGACCTCATTTAGGATGGTGTTTTGAACAATCCTACCAATTTTCAGCTTGCTGCGAATTTTTGTAACCTCGGATGTTTAACTTGACCGGATTATAAGGCTATGTCTCTCTGTATTGTCCAGAAAATCCAGCGCGCCGAAAATGGAGTGGCGTCGTCACAAGCCAGACTCGGCAGACACCGCCCACAGAGAGGCCGTCGGTCGGCTGAGGATCCTGCTGGCCGAGAGCTACGCTCCTCCGAAGAGACCCTTGCGGGAGCTAGACAGTGCAGGCGAGGAGACCGACAACCAATCGCTAGTCAGCGCTGGTAGCAGGAACTCGAGGCTCAGCAGGAACTACTACCACAACTTGGTCACGCCGAGGAAGTACTACTACTATCCGAATTTGAGAAGCGGTTACGGGGGGTTGGGTACTGACACGGACAAATCTTTGTTACAGTAAGCAAACAAATACAAAGTACTACAAATCGAATATTACCTTTTGGTAAATCTATGAAATCCGAGTCTTTAACCCAGGTAGAACCCTGATATTAGTTGATTATTCAACCAATATGTGGAGTGAATGTTGGGGAAATATGGATTTCAGATATTATGCCAACAAATCAATGTGAAAGATCTGGGATCTTGGTGCTATATTGAATCCAAACTTTGTTTTGATATGCTCTATCCAACATCGAGTTCATATTCGTATACAAAATTGGACAAAGATATGTTGTCAACTTATAGAAACTGGCATTTTAGGAATTTCATATGTAAATCTGATATTGAATTCATAATTTCCTACTATATGGGGCATAATAAGGATGTGATCATTTTGCAATATTACCTTTACGTTGAATTATAATATTCAATCAATATTATTGTAATTCGTTCTTTCAACGAAATTTGAATTCAAAATTCGAACCATTTAAGCCTCATTGAGAAAAATCAGCGATATTGGTACAATAATTCGTAAACATAATGTATCAGATCCATTTTCGTTTTCTATATTCCAGTATACCAAGTTGAACGAGTGCTGTAATATTGAACGCATCTGAGCAGTCGTTTGTTGGAGACGTACTAGTGGTGCCAGCTGTTATAACGTTGATTAAATACCAACGGATTCGATATTAAAAATCCAATATCAGTGCAATATTGGATCTGACATATTTCATTAGTTATTTCATCTATATCTGAGTCTCATATTGATGTACTACATACATGTTTCGAACATATAGATATATATATGTCCATCCTCATCCTTATCAATTATTACTCATATCGTGGGAAAAAAGGTTGAGTTACATCTTATCTTATTCGAATTGAATGAAGATGGGTTCAATCTCAATCCAAGGGGAAAAACTTGAAAACCCCAACTGAAAGTATTGTGGGGAATACGAAAGAGAAGTCCACCACAAGATGCACATCAGTGAAACTTTCAGATGAGGTGGATGAGAAACCATAGACTTCTACCGAAAAATAATGTTCGTAGCAAATATCATGCAATATTCAATATTCATCTGGAACATAATATATATTGAAATGAACTCAAGAATGATATAGATGTCGTCATTATGTCGACTTGATTGATTAGAGAGCCAATAATCAGTTCAACATAGCTGGACAATGAAATGCAATATTCACTAACCATCATAGATCTGATATTGATGCAACATTGTTTTCCAAGATAAATTCGATACTGGAAATACAATATCAGCCCATCTTGAAAATTGATATATTGTTATCGTTCATATTTTGCCAATGAATATCGGATGGTCACATGATATCAATGATACTATAACATTGCCACTGGATTGATGATTGAATATCGAGATAAAAAATTGGTTCGATATTGGTTTTATATTGGGACAATCTAGTGATTCCATATCCAATATACGAATATTGGGCTACTGTGAAACCAAGTTCTAGCCAATATGTTCTACCTGGGAATCCGATCATCGTAATGCTGCTAGGTAGACCAGTTTTGCGGTCTAGATTAGATTCAACAGGCACTCAGCCAATCAAGTCGTAGCTCATTTGTCACAATCCACACCTACCAATACCAATACCAACAGCAATACCAGGTCTGTGTTATTCTGGCTTCTGTCCCTCAATCAATCTTGGATCATATGAACGCATCCATATGGTATCATTGGCAGTGTGTCGAATGATAACAACTTGAACAGATGTGGTTTTTATTGAGATATAATGAATGAATCCAAAATGCTCAACATAATATTCTAGTATGTCCGTGTTCAATTCTGAAGGAATTCTAGAATCTTGTTCACGAAATTTATCTTGATGTGATTATTTTCTAGCGATGCACCAAAGGTTGAAAGTCCAGCTGCACCTCCGGAACTAATGTCTTTCATTGAAAGGCAAGACGAGTATATCGAAGAACTAGAGAAAGAGTCGAAATTCTGTAAGGTGAGTATCTACACATATTCCTACTCCCTTGGTTTCATATTTTTCTCTTTCTAGGAAGAGCTGTCAACTCTGTTAAGCAAAGTTAAGGAAGTCATCAATGAAAACGAACATTTACACGATAAACAGAGATCAAGGATGATCAAATCGCTGTTCCAACACATTGAAACTGAAACAGAAACAGAAACCGAAACAGATAACAAAAATGTGAGTAATATTTATCAATGAAATCGAAAGAAAGATTTAATCATTATCCATTTGAATCACACAGATATTGAGATCGCCCAAAAAATCTAGAAACACTAGAATCATGGAAGGTCCTTCTATAGTATTCGAATCCAGAATTTCAGAACTTGAAGCTCAACTTACTCAGGCTAGGATAGATCTGAGGAAAGCCCATGACGAAAATGAAACTCTTAGGAAAAAAATCAACGATGGTACAATCCTGGACACTGTTGGCTTTGAATCTCACAAAAAGCAATTGGAAAACTTGCAAAGGTAGTACCTGTACTTCTTGTCTCATATTATGTACCTATCACTAAAATATGTTTTTCTTGTGAATGGAAAATAGTTTGACATTTTAACTCTGTTGACAGGTTACAAAATGTCACTTTTCGTAAATTACTTTTTTCCCACGGGAAGAAAAGTACCTAAGTACTTTTTTCCCGGATATAAACAACAACTACTAAACTATAATTCAACACTTATTGTTCGCAATTTTTCAAAATCAAAACACAGAATTAAATTGATACACATTCGATTACATCATAGCAACAATAGCAAAGATGCCTACAAAAAGACGCCTGCAAACACATGTGTTCTACCAGTTAAAAACTTATATTAATCATAATGTATCTTCCCAATATTGAATCGTCCTTTCTGTCACAGGAAAAAAGTGTATTATACACATGAAAACATGGGATTTTAGCTCTCGGTTTCCTGTATCCCTCCGCTACGGGAGATAACACAACCTCGAGCTAAAATCTGATACTTTTTCCCTTTTATGATAAATAATTATATTTCAGAGAGAAGCAAACGTTACAGGACACTGTTAATAAATTGCAGAGTACTCTTACCATACTGAAAGATAAAGAAAATGAGAGCATGGATAAAGTTAAGAGAAGCTTAGATGTTGCAGAACAAACTCAATACGAAAAAAATGCAGCTGAATCTGAAATAAGGAGGTTGAAAGATGAACTCGATAGGCAACACATGAAATTGAGAGAAGCCATAGCTGATCAGGTAGAATAAAACGAATATTATATTGAAAATTTCACACCCATTATTTTCGACCAACTGAAAGCCTGTATTTTGTATCGTTACCATAGCAACTGAACAAATTTCCGAAAATATGTTACTCCTCCTTGGGAAAAGCATGAAATTACACATGAAATCTTTAGACGTTTATACCTAAACTGACATTCACATTCAACTTCAGATTATTTCGAATCAATTTCATGAGTTCCTTGTAAGGAAATATATTCCTACCAACTAGCTAAATGAATTTGTAAAATACTGATCGAAAGATTGAGCTACTATCATTTTATTTTGCATCATTTCATTCAACTAAAGTCGTTCAATTATACACTCACCGGCAAAAAAAGACTACCAAAAAATTTCGTCTGATTCGCTCTTCAGCTTGGGTGTTGTATATGAAAAAAATCTGGCTAACAAAGCAAGACAGATCACGAAAGGCATGCCTGGACGTGAACCCTATGGAAGCAGCCTCGAAGCAGTGGATTCTCAAAAGCCAGAGCATATTATTTTATGAAGAAATTGAAACTCTCAAGAAAGGCCAACCCCTTGAAAAGTCCATTACCACTTGTCTGCATTGTTCAATGGGACAGACAGGCAGACAGACTCGATCTTGACTAAGTCTTTCGATTTCCGATTGTTATAAACAATTTGGGATTGAAATTTTGGATTCTGCATGTTCGTGTGGCCGTCAAAAGATGTTTCAATACCTGCCTGTAATGCAGAAAGAGAAAATTTGATCCAGCAGTGCCAGAAATAGGCCTGCTGCTACCATCAAGACTGAAAGCCAATGTTTTTCTCTTCACTTATGTGAATATCGAATTGTTTGGGCCAAAATATGTTACTGTAGATCACAAAAATTGAAGGAGTTAGGGTGTTGTATTTATCTGTTTCTCGATTCAAGCAGTTCATATTGAGTTGGCAGCATCGCTAGATACTAGTTCTACAGTTTCATCTCTCGAAGAGGCCAACCAAAGGAACTTCTGACTAATTGTGGAACAAATTCCAAAGCAGCTGGGCGATAATTACGAGAGTGGGTGAATTTACTAGACCATGATAGAATATATCCAACAACCTTGCCCGGAATGTATCCACATGGAATTTCAATTGTCTAGGCGCTCCTCATATGGCTGGTGTATATGGAAGAGAATGGTGAAGTCGGTTAAGACTGCACTGATAGTTTCATTGAATATGGTCAAACCAAGAGAAGAATTTTGAAAGTTTGAAAGTTTCTTTGAATATGGTGAAGCCAAGAGAAGAAGATCACACTTTTATGTGAAGCAGAATATATGGGAAAGTGACGACCCCGTACTCATATATCCGACCCTGATGATACTGTCGCAATCACTCCAAACTTGAGTCCAAGCAACTCCTCTTCGTCGACCAGGAGGTGTTTCATCGTGTGCTCAATTTCCACAAGAAAGCAATGGAGATTTGCTCAAGCACTTACATATTTGTGATAGATCCTGGAATATAGATCTAACTTGGTCAATCTACAGAAATGGCACGATCGAACTAGTGGAGGTTGGAGATGTGGTAGTCATCGTCGATGAGAGGGCACCGAGAACAATCGGCTGATGGGACGCATAGATGAGACATGTCAAGGGAAAGATGGCGTTATTCGAGTAGCTAAGTTAGTTACGAAAAACGGAAGCTACACCAGATCTGTTTCGGTATTATGTATACTGCCCTCTTCCACTGAGAGTTAGTGAAGACTTCTCCACGTGGGGAAGAACGTAGAAGACTCACCGTCCAGTATACCAGGTGTCCCAGATCTTCTCATACAGCTAATATCTCAGTTTTGCTGCTTAGAAAATAAACCAAGAACCAAATGACTTTGACGTTTTATTTATATTCATAATTTTTTTAAGGGACAGAAGATGTAGGTAGCAAAGTGTGGAGCAATGTTTGGAATGCCAAATCCTACCCAACACATCTTTTTTTTTTTTCGTATTCATACCCCTTGACTGAGCTATGAAGCTAGCTTCACTGCGCACGGATTTCCTGTAATTTTGATGGAATTCATCCCTTAGCAGAAACCCTAGATGATTGTGGTTGAAGTAAACTTCTATTGTATGCAACGTTTATTATTATTTTCGGACGAACACACCTCTAGCATATAGATACCATATTCCATACGAAGTACTGAGGATAATTCCTTTGCACTTATCAGAATTTTCGCCACATTTTCAACGTTGTTTGTGTCATAATATTGGAGATGATAAAAATGGTCAAATCGTTGTTGTCGTCGTTGAATACAGCAGTTCAAGTGTTCTCTAGCAACACTTTCGTATCGTGCTATATCCCACGTAGGTCCTTCAACATGAAATATTTACCACCAAGGTGTGATTGTGTTGTCGGTTTCAGGGACGCAGGATAGCCGACGAGAGATCAGCAGTTGAAAGACGGTATACTCAGCAAATAGAACAACTATCTGCTGAGCTAGGTGCTCAGTGGGAAACCACAAATAAATTACATCTTGAACTGGATATACAAAGACGAGAAAACGGAGATCTGAGACGAGAATCTGCTCAAAAACAAGCGCTGATAGACGAACTGAAAAAGGACATGCAAAATAGAATAAGTAAGAATCAACAATGATGAATAGAACGTTGCTTACCCAGCGGGGACCATTGCTATTAGTGCCCGAGACAGCACAGAATATTCTGTGAATGTTCTCACAGCGTTCACAACAAACCTCCTCCATAATATTCCGAAAAATATTGATAGATTATGATGGAGACTTCTGAATGTTCATAGAATGTTTAAGCAGAATATCCATAGAACATTTCATTTAAATATCCTATAGGAACGTTCCTAGAATATTCCATTTTATTCTCTGAATGTCATTCAGGAATGATCATAGAATGTATCACTCGAATGTTTTAGGTATGTTTATAGATATTATTTAGATACTCTATAAAGAGAAATTCTTTTTCTCTATTACCATATTATGTCTTCACTTGCTTAGTTTTTGTGGTAGAGGGAGTGACATTTGTCAGAAAAAACGATTTATCATTGATTAATCCAAGGTTAGTTTATTTCATTGTAACAGTATTTCACCTGATGAAGCTACTGTGTTAGCAGAACAAGTCGTGTGCTTGAAAAGTTTGTAGAAATCTCATGGTTTGTGATGTTTTTACATTCGCTATGGATTTTCATCAAGTGACGGCTGAGTCAATTCGAAAATTGGCTCAGGATAAATGATTTTACAGCAAAGATCCGTTGATTAACCGACCAATTTGCCATTGTAACACAAAACCTTCAATAATAAACTACAATTTTATCACTATTAGACGTTTGTCAAATAAACAGTATTTTCACAGCAACCTATTCAAAACCATTCAATCTAGTTGCCGGACCCTGTATATACTAACAGAATGTTCTGAGAATGTTCTGAAAAATAATTTTCGTCCCATTTGCATGTTCTCAGAATATTCTCAGTGCACCTTGTGAAAACATTCTGAGAATATTCGAAATTTTCCACAGGAATATTCTAGGAACGTTCTTCTAGGAGATTGTAAAAGCGAACGGTTTTCTTTTTTCAGTCACCCTGCAGTCGGATATAGGTGTGAGTGGGGCTGAGAAGGGTGCTCTCGAACAACAAATTGCTACGCTTCAAATGGCGAATGAAAGAAGCGAAAGGCAGTCGAAGCAAGAAATCGTTCGACTACAAGCTGAAATTCAGTCCTTGCGACAACGATTGGATCGTGCTGATGCCGATTTGATTCACAGCAGGAGGGAAAATATCAGATTGTCAGAGCAGGTGGCTTCACTTGAAAAAGAGGTGAATAAACTGGTCAATTAGGCGAGTGGACTATTTTTCTTTTATTTCTTCAATAGAATCATCACTCAAATACCTTTCGATTACATATTGTTACGACCCTGGCGATCAATCCCAGCTACCTGCTATGGAAGTAAATAAACCGTATTTCTTGGAATAGAAATCGACGGCTATTGAGATGACTCGAGAAGATTATCGACCTGTTCACGATATTTCGAGTGGAATATAGACGTTTTATTAGGTAGTATAAATAGTTGTTGTTAGGGACAGGAAGGGAAGTCTTTATTTGGAAGCGTTATAATAACGATCGAAGAAGTGTTGTGAATCGGAAGTGTTTAGTACGGGTATTGTTATTATTGTATAGTAGTGTACAGAATAAATCGTTTCAAGTGTTTTACCGAGTGTTAAATTATTACGGACCCAGAGTAAAATCGTAACAGTGGTGTCAGAAGTGTGGATTTTTCGAGGACATTTGAAGACGTATGGTGAATACAAGGAGTACGTCATACGACGCGATGGAAGACATTTTGAAATTTATGCAAAATCAGTTCGCGGAACAAGAGGAACGACGACAGAAAGAAAAACAAGAGGAGGAGAAACGTCGTCGAGAGGAAAAATTAGAAGAAGAGCAACGTCGTCAAGAAGAGTTACAGAAAATTCTAGAGCATCAAAAAAAAGAACGAGAACATCAGAAAATCTTCTTCGAACAAATTCTGCATAAAACTGATGTGCAAATAGATGAGTTGAAGACAGATTTCACCAAAATTGACGACAAGCTTAACCAGGAAGTTTCAAGAATAGATTCCATGTTCGATACAATCAAAAGAGATGTAGCGAATCAGATCGCCTCGCTACGAAGTCAAGATCGTCGTGACAGGGTTGCCACATCGGGTTCTTCCGTGAAACCACCAACTTTTGATGGACAGTCGCCTTGGTCTATGTATCGCCGACAATTTGAGGCTGCAGCAAGTGCAAATGGGTGGAGTGACGAGGAAAAAGCTACTGCACTCATTGTAGCTCTGAGAGGACCAGCTTTGGGGATGTTACAGTCGATCCAAGTGGAACAACAAAACCACTTCGGAGATTTAGTGGCTGCACTAGAACTCAGGTATGGTGAACAACATCGAGAACAGCTTTACCGGGCTCAGATGAAAAATCGTGTGCAGAAGTCTGGAGAGAGCCTACAGGAGTTCGAAGCAGATGTGAGAAGACTGACTCAATATTAGCCTACCCAGAGGCACCAGAGGACTTCAAAGAACAACTGGCGGTGCAGATATTCATCGATGGGCTGAGAGACTCAGAAATACAGAAGACTCTGAGGCTTACACACTTTAAGAGGAGTGGTGAAGCCCTAGTAAGATCTCTGGAGGTAGAAGCGGCCTTCAACACCTCTAGGCCAAAAGTGAGAGCTGTGTCCATCGAGGAGCCTTCCGAAGACGTGGACCCAGTGGCGAAAATGTTGAGAAAAGTGCTTGAGGAACTCAAAGAAATTAAGAGTGGGTCTAGTAACCAACGAAATAGATCCTGCTATCGCTGTGGCAGAACTGGACACCTGATAAGGGACTGTAAGGTGAGAGTACCACCACGATCTTCTTTACCTGCAAGGACGCCATCACGGTCGTACTCACCTGCGAGGACTAGGTCATCTAGTGAGTCCTCAGATAGATACCAGGAAAACTGGAACTAGCCAGCGTATCGGGGCGCATGCTGGCTAGCAATAACGAAGCCCCGAGGGTCATAAACATCAAAAGGATAAGAAGAACAACTGATAGCCTGACCATCAAAGGAAAAATCAACCAAATGGATGTAACCTGCACCATAGACACCGGTGCATCAGTTTCCCTGGTACGCAGTGACATTCTCCGGCCTGGAAGTATAAAACCAACCACTTCCAACTTTGTTCTTCGTACGGTCACTGGAGAAAATGCACCTATACGAGGGATGGCTGATATCGAGTTGACGCTTGGAAGACTCCATTTAGTGAACATGGTATACGTCGCAGATATCGAAGATGAGTTTATCCTCGGCATGGATCTGATAAGCGACTACGGGTTTTCATTCGACAGTGATCAGAAGACCATGAAATTTGGAGGAGAAGAGTTTGTACTAACGACACCGGCCGAGAGGGAGACGTCTGTGAGGCTACGACTAGCGAAGACTGTGAGAATTCCTGGATTCACTGAAAAGATCATCCATGCGCGATCAGAGAAGGACCCTGGGTGCTGCGTTGGATTAGTACAGTCATGTGAGGAATCCCCCAGCAAGCTGTTACTTGCCCGAGCTTTAGTGACCACCGAACGAGACATTCCTGTGAGGGTAGCAAATGTGTTACCTACCACCATAACAGTAAGGGGAGGAGACATCATCGGAGCTTGTGAACCAGTCAGTTGGGTAGCAAAATGTGATGAGACTAACGAGCAGAGATGGAGGGAACGAGATGACAGTGCATTGAGAGTTCTGGAAACCTCCTTGGACCACTTATCACCAACGGAATATAAAGCTGCCAAGAAATTCATAGCAGACGAAAGTGATATCTTTGAATCAACATCAACAGGGCGGACGAACTTGGTCAAGCACAGAATAGATACTGGTAAAGCTCACCCAATTCGGCAACCACCAAGAAGAATGCCGTTTGCTAAGCAACAGGAGGTGGAACAGCTGGTTGACAAAATGATGAAGGATGGGGTAATTGAAGAATCATCCAGCCCTTGGTCTGCACCGGTTGTATTAGTGTCCAGGAAGGATGGATCCACAAGATTCTGTGTGGATTATAGGAAGCTCAATGACGTCACCAAGAAGAATAGCTACCCGTTACCAAGGATTGATGACACTTTGACTACATTGGCTGGCTCCCGATGGTTTTCGACACTGGACTTGAAGAGCGGATACTGGCAAGTGGGCATTCACGAAGAAGATAAGGAGAAGACTGCTTTTACGACTGGTAATGGACTGTACCAGTTTACTGTGATGCCTTTTGGACTATGTAATGCCCCAGCAACCTTCGAAAGGCTGATGGAATTGGTACTGCGTGGGCTCACTTGGAAAACTTGCCTGGTATATCTGGACGATGTTTTGGTCATGGGAAAGAATTTCGAGGAACACCTGAAGAACTTACGGGAAGTGTTCCAGCGATTCAGGAATGCCAACCTCAAACTGAACCTGAAGAAATGTTCACTATTCCAGAAACGAGTAGATTTCTTGGGCCACACGGTAACGTCAGAAAGAATACAAACTGACGAGACAAAGATTCAAGCCATTCGAGACTGGCCAAGACCGAAGGACAAACATGAAGTTAGAAGTTTCTTGGGATTGTGCACTTACTAGAATGTGAGAAATCCTTCAAGAAATTGAAGGCTGGCCTCTGTTCGAGTCCTATTTTGGGGTTCCCACAAGAGAGAGGCTTGTTTATTTTGGACACAGACGCGAGTAACATCGGAATTGGAGCCGTGCTATCACAAGTACAGGATGGTCAAGAAAAGGTTATAGAATACTACAGCAAAGTGATGGCCAAACCAGAAAGGAATTATTGTGTCACCAGGAAAGAACTGCTAGCAATTGTTAAGGCTGTTGACCATTTCCACAAATATTTATACGGAAGAGAATTTCTCATTAGGACGGATCATGCAGCTTCGAGGTGGCTGATGGAGATGAAGAATCCTGAAGGTCAAATAGCAAGATGGCTGGAAAAGCTGAACCAGTATCACTTCAAGATTAAGCATCGCCCAGGAAAACTACACCAGAATGCAGATACCATGTCCAGAAGACCTTGTTCGGAAACCTGTAAGCATTGTCTGCGCATTGAACATCGAGAAGGAGCCGCTGATGTTAGAAAAACCAGACTTGTGACCGATGATAAGTGGACAGCAGCACACATGAGACGAGATCAGGAGAACGATCCGAATATCGCTGATTTTCTACGTTGGAAAGAAAGAGGAACAGGAAGACCGACATGGAAGGATATCTCGGATAGAGGACCCACTAGTTGTGGAGAATGGATTATTGAAGCGAGTTTGGGAATCAGCTGATGGTAGATCAACAATTTCTCAGCTGGTTGTGCCCCACATCAGAGTTAATGAAGTTCTGGAAGAAGTCCATGGCGGAAAATCTGGTGGACATTTTGGAGTTAACAAGACATTGACTAAAATTCGAGAAAGATTTTTCTGGGTTCAATGTCGTGACGACGTGGAAAGTTGGTGTAGAAGATGTCCTGTATGCGAAGCCAGTAAAGGTCCCAGAACGAGATCAAGAGCTGGAATGAAGCAATACAATGTGGGTGCACCGTTTGAAAGGATCGCCATCGATGTAGCCGGACCATTCCCTTTGACTGATGATGGAAATAAATACATCTTGGTTGCTATGGACTACTTCAGTAAGTGGGTAGAAGCATACGGCATGCCAAACCAAGAAGCCTCCACAGTTGCCAGGATATTGGTAGACAACATGTTTTCACGGTTCGGGGTACCAATGGAGTTACATTCTGATCAAGGGAGAAATTTCGAGTCGAACATATTCAAAAAGGTCTGTGATCTAATGGGAATCAGTAAGACCAGAACAACTCCACTACATCCACAATCCGATGGCATGGTCGAAAGATTCAACCGAACTATGGAAGAACATCTTTCCAAAGTAGTCGAAGAGCATCAGAGGGACTGGGACAGGCATCTTCCCTTATTCCTGATGGCGTATAGAGCAGCTGTCCATGATTCAACGAAGCTAACTCCAGCTAGTATAGTCTTTGGAAGAGAACTCCGCTTACCTTGTGACTTGGTGTTCGGTTCACCAAGTGTTGAAGAAAAGGAAGTACAAGACTACGCAGATGAGCTCCGGAATGGCTTGATGAAAATTCATGAGACTGCTCGGAAGAGATTGAAATTAGCAAGTGACAAAATGAAGGCACGGTACGATCTCAAAGCCAATTCAGAGGGATTCTTCGAAGGAGATCGAGTTTGGCTGTATAATCCTCGACGGAAGAAAGGCGTATCACCCAAATTAACACCATCTTGGGAAGGACCGTATACGGTGTTGAAAAGGATCAACGATGTGGTCTACAGAATCCAACGCAGCCCTAGGACAAAGATGAAAGTCGTTCATCTTGAAAGACTGAAGCGCTTATCATGGTGAGGAAAGTTCTGTTTTTGATCGGGACGATCAAATTTGAAGAAGGGGGTAAATGTTACGACCCTGGCGATCAATCCCAGCTACCTGCTATGGAAGTAAATAAACCGTATTTCTTGGAATAGAAATCGACGGCTATTGAGATGACTCGAAAAGATTATCGACCTGTTCACGATATTTCGAGTGGAATCTAGACGTTTTATTAGGTAGTATAAATAGTTGTTGTTAGGGACAGGAAGGGGAGTCTTTATTTGGAAGCGTTATAATAACGATCGAAGAAGTGTTGTGAATCGGAAGTGTTTAGTACGGGTATTGTTATTATTGTATAGTAGTGTACAGAATAAATCGTTTTAAGTGTTTTACCGAGTGTTAAATTATTACGGACCCAGAGTAAAATCGTAACAATATTTTTCTCAAATTGTTCAGTCAATTTTGAGGAGCTTAAATCATCAATAATGCCACGGTAATTTTCAATTTGCTAGAAATTTACTGCCAGTAAAAACTGACGACACGATTTCGTAAGTTGTTACAGACAATAGCACAGTTGCCATATGTTGAAATACGATTGGGAACTCCAGAAATATTAGTTGAAGGAAGGAAAATCTCCAAGTCAATTGCACGATTTTTATTGACGAAATGTTTCAATGGGGGGTGGGACATGTTTCGGGCCTATAAGCCCATCATCAGCCAAATATATTAAAAATCCTACAACATTTACAAAAATTACATTTCTTGATAGAAGAAATTCTTTTTAATTATTAGAACGGCGAAATAATAAGCAGGAATTGATAAACCGAGGGCCATGCACACTCTTATTACAGTTATGAAATTTTTAATTGAAAATACATACCTGGAACTCATTGCCTGAGGAAGTATGCCCAACAACATATAATCTCCAGAAGTTCAAAAGAAATTCCAATACCTACCTCCTGTCCCTATCCTCCCTAGGAACGCACGATGTTCTTTGAACATTGTAGGTATTTCCTTTCTCGCGCTCCAAGCGATTAAAAAAAACTATAATGAGAGGGTACAGGGCTCTCGGTTGAACAATTCCTGCTTATTATTTCGCCTTTCTAATAATTGAAAAAAGAACGTACTAAGCAATGTAATTTTTTTCTATCCATGTAAGTATGTACAGGGTGATTCACCATAAATGTCCCCCCCTCTAGCTCAGTTATCTTTGAACCGATTTCAAAATTTGAAATTTCATCTTGAATGATTTTCGATAAAGTTCTTTTCTGCTACATCAAAAAATACAGGGTGCTCGGAACAAACGATCTACAGGGTACTATTTGATTTTTTTAAATGGAACACCCTATTTTTCATTTTTAGATTCTCTCTGAAGAGCTGATTTGATCAATATATGACACTTGGGGTCTAGCGGGAATGATTACAGAGATATAGGGTGTTCAAAATCGAGATTTTTCAACTTTAGGATTTTTTGTGACGGAACTATTTATTATCGGTCAAAACGGCTCTCATGTCCGTATCTTAACTTTTGATTTACTATCTACTGACATTTAATAATTGGAACAGATACAGAGTTATCAGGATTCTGAATCTTGAGCCACCCTGTCAATGTTCCAAACAAATGTCAGTAGATAGTGAATTAAAAGTTGAGATGGGGACATAGAAGCCGTTTTGACCAATAATGAATAGTTTCGACACAAAAAAAATCCTAAAGTTGAAAAATCTCGATTTTGAACACCCTATAATCTCTGTAATCATTCCCGCTAGACCCCAAGTGTGATGTATTGATGAAATCAGCTCTTCAGGAAGAATCTGAAAATTCAATGAAATACAGGGTGTTCCATTCGGAAAAATCAAGTAGTACTCTGTAGATCGTTTGTTCCGAGCACCCTGTATTTTCTGATGCCACGGGAAAAAAAATCTGAAAAATCATTTCAGATTATCTCTCAAATTTTTAAATCGGTTCAAAAATGATTGAGCTAGAGGGGGGGACATTTATGGTGAATCACCCTGTACATATAATCTCATCTTGAACAATTCCACTAGCTCTAAGTAATGTTGTAGGATTTTTCATATATTTGGCTGATGATGGGCTCATGATAGGCCCCACCCTTCAATTACCACCCGTCCACTTTGAGCACTATGGACTTCTACACACGGTGAAATATTAGTTAGTTAATAATTCATAAATTCTCGATTACGTATTGGTGATATTCTCAATTAGCAATAAAAAACCAATTGTACCTAAATTAATGCACACTAGAGGACATTCGAACTGGTGAACGTGACAACACGGTGCACGAATTGTGGGCGGTGTCTTGTCAGTTCTCAGCATTCAGCACAATGTTGCCAAGTCCCAAACATTTACATGATATTTCGTTGAAAAGAATAAGAAATATGTGGACATATAATGGTTGCTCGAAAAAGTCAAGAATGAACTATAATATAATTGCTTCCCCATATTATGTTTCTTCAACTAACATCTTTTTGATAACTCGATTAAAATTGATGACTTGACAACTTCGCTTCATGAGTGGGAATGGAAGATTATCTGATCATTAACGAAACAGCATCTGAACTGACGATCAGGTTAGGTTGATCAGTCCACTCGCCCATTCCCCAAACTGATAGCGAAATCAACAATGAGGGAAAAACTTGAGGCAATTTCTACAAAATTCTCCATAAATGAACAGCAATGGTAGGCAATAGGAGGAAAATAAATACTTCTCTGGCTAATGCCTCATTATCGAAATATACTTGGATTGTGGTCAGGTAGATGCTATATAACCCCCTGGCAGACCAGTTTCAGGTGTTTAGACGCATTTATCTGACTTCAATTCAAGTACAATTCGGAATTAGAGGCACAGTTAGAGGGAAAGAATATATACTTCGAATGTTCGCATAGATTTCATTAGGATGTAATGGGCCTGTTCCAGTGAGAAATTGTATTTTATTATTTCGAAATACTAACCCCTTACTAGTTCGCTGTCGTGAACATTTGTTCTTCTTGCTCAGAGCTCCATACATTTTTCGAATAATTATTGGAATTCACGATATTTCATGCGATGAGAAATGCGGGAAAACGCGTGAAGTAATCATCCGTGAACACTCCAATGCAATCAGATAAGATTCGACTCACGTATGCATCTTCCATTTCCATAATACAAGGGCAGGACCATCGCTGATTTCCATTTTTATTGAAATGAAAAATAAATTTTTTAGACACAAACCCTGCTCACTGCAGATAACAGAGAACACAACACATAACTAAAGAATCAGATAATCTGAGGCTTCTTCAAATATTCGCATCTCAACTGAATGGAACAAGGATTTGAAGATGAAGGTGATCATTATTAGGGACACTAGTATATTTGTATTGCTAATGAAGCATTTTGCAAGTATTATAAGTATTGAGTAAGTGTCCGCTACACGTCGGGAGACAACACAATCGGAGCTAAAATCTACTACTTTTTTACCTTGTATAATAAATAACTAGTTCTTCTCTCAGCTACTATTCTGTTGTTCATTTAATTGCACATTTTTAGATTGCTCTGAATACTGCCATGGCGGAAGAAAGGACCAGGACACCTAGGGGTAATGAAATAGTGGCTTTACCTCCACCGGTACTGCAGAAAGAGGGCAGCGACAAAGAGATGACTTCCATGATTCACGATTTGGAGAACAAACACGGTGAGTTCCAAATAAAAAGCACCCACAATTTCACGTGACGGACTACGCGGAAGCATATAGAGTCACGCCAATTCGTTCTTCGAAAAATCGTGTTAGTAGTGTTATTAGTGTCAAATTATGAGACCTCAATGCTCTTGTATTCCCCTTCGTAGGTACGTGCAAAAAATCAGAATTTCACTGAGTGAGTTAATTTTTTGTAGCATGACTCCAACAGCTCGGAGAAGATACTATTTCAAGATGAAAATCTTATGTAATAGTATATTACCGTATCTATGGTAACGATATTACACACCGAGGTGAAAAGAGATTCATTCCTGTCGTGAGATTAGTTAGTTTACCGAGACGCAAAGCGTCCAGGTTAGCTATGATCTCGAGATAGGAATGAAACTTCCTACCGAGGTTTGTATACTATTTCATTCACAACCTTTGTTTCGTTCTGAACATACCTGAAATTAAAAAATGGAGTGGGGGCGGGAAGTGAGGGCGGACAGTGAGGGCGGGAAGTAGTGAGGGCGAGAAGTTGTGAGTAGAGGTATGTAATGTGACACTTCCCAACCTTCAATGACGTTAGTAATGAGAACATTGCATATATGGTTGTAAAAAACATATAATAACTATACTTGATACTTCGATTTACAGATGATGTGATATTTTCATATATTTTTCATAAGTTCCGTCACTAAGTTTCAATGACACACCCAATGGAAGCTTTCCAGGTCTTTTAGTAATTTATCAAATAGAGTGTGAATGAAATGTTTTAATTATCACAAATGAATAATTTTTGGCATTTATCTCACAATCCATCTTTCGAGAAACATATAGGGAAGCAGAAAGTTCCCGAATATATCAGAAAATCTAAATCTATGTTTCACTGAAAGCAGGGGCAGCATGCAGAAAAGTTCCAGATGGTTGAACTAGGTATACAACCCCCAAAAGTGTATCACGCTGTAGGTAATCACAGAATCGCCTTATATCCCTAGATACCAATTTGAGTTCTCAAAGTGTGATAGGTATGCCAAATTCAAATAAATTATTCTGAGAATTGTAGGAGAAAACTATGAAAAAATCTGAAACGAAGTTGCCACGCAAATATATTATTGTGTCATTTATAAAGTTGGCATCACATGGGGAAATCTATAAATAATAATTTATTTTGAAATTCAACATGGGCGTTTTGCCTAAAAAAAAAAGGAAAATGGCAAACTCGGTCGAAGTCACGTACTCGTTACATGTCAAAACGCAAATGTCGAATTTCAATAATGTTCACGAAAAAAATTTGTTTCTACTACAATATGGTGTCGAATTTGAACGTTCTATTGCAACTTTAAGTTTTCGATATTTTTTTTATTCTAATTGTAACTTGGACAAAATTGTCCTAAACTGGTTAGATATGTAAAATAAAGTTAATCTACTCACTGCATCCAATCCTCATTTTAGGGCACAAACCTGTCAATTTACTTCCACGGGAGGAAAAAAAGTATTACCTTGCGTGGGAGGTAAAATGAATTGGCTTTAGCTTACTTGCTTGGTAGAGATATGATACGTATAAGATCTGTGCTACCCAAGTACCTGATCAATGTCTCCATCACGACTATAAAACAAATAACAATTTCATTTTTGAACTCCAATGATCTCCAATAATAAACAAATTCAAAGTGACAGACTGTCAATTACTGTCTAAAATTGTTCTAAAAATGTTAAGAACGACGCTCTCAAATATATGTGTTCGTGGATAAAATCATATGTAATATATCTTTGGAGCAAATGTTCATTTCCTTCCATGTGTTTTTAATGAAACTCCACACGGGGGAGGAAATGGATACCTTTGTTCCCTTGACATATAAATAGGTATTAATGATATTTTGATGGATGACTTTGGCATCGTTTTAGTACCTACTGAAAAAACTGACTCACCCTGTATACCCACGAATAACGTTTCCTGTTATTTCAATATTATTCCACTGGTTGTTGAATGAAATAAAGATTATGTAGCTGGCTCATATTCAGACTTCTCTAAATATGTTCGTGATATAATGTGAATAGTTTGGAATGTCTCTCTAACCAGAATCCCCAATACTTCATCTCAATTCATTTCAATTCCTAAACACCTGATAAAAACTATAAAAACAGTTAAATAATAATCATTCGTGATTATGCTACTGTTTGTTCATATTTTATACTACAAGTGTTAATATTTTGCCGGTAATATTCGGCGGATGTTACGACAGCTTGTTGCCTTATAATTTCGCCGAATGACAGTGTTTATCAAAACTTTCGAGACGTAGGCGAGAAGTTTTGGAACAATGTCATGAGCGAAATCAAAGCAGCAAGCTGCAGTATGTCAATCGACGAATATTTCCAGGAAAAATAGTATCACGAGTTGTATTCTTGAGTATTCCATGCTTGAGACAATAAACGAGCGGCTTGCGAAAGTTGCGCACACTGCATCCATCATTCTGGCTTCCAACATAATTGACGTTTTAAACGTCCAAAATTTTATCGGTGGAAAAACGAGGAAGGTTGGTCACGTGTAGGTCAATAATTGTCAATTCGACTTCTGTATTGGTAGAGCAAGTCCGATAAAATTTACTTAACAAAAAAATATCGTTGTAATACAAAACCGTGCAAATAGCCGATTCTGATTGCTGCTAGAGGCCAAGAGTGGAATAGTCAATGAAAATACTCGAAAGAGTGGGTGAAAACAATAAAATTACAATATTTGTGGTTTCTCTGATGGTTTTGCACTTATGATGGGGGAGATATAGGGGCATACTATAAGTAATCCTTAGAGGCACTACTCTTATTTGGATTATAGGGGATTTTTCTCATTATTTATTCTTTTCGACCAGTTGAATTGAAATTTGACTACCATTCCGATTTTGAGAATGAATATCCGAAAAATAATAATTTGAATTATCAGTGTCAAGATGAATAATAATTGCGAACCTGCAATACAATAAATTTCAAACACTATGACTTAAACGGCCCACTTTCTTTGTCTTTGTAAAACTGAAAGCAATTATCATTCTCTCATTCAATATTTCTTCCAAAAATCTAGTCACCTTACTGGGTATATAATCAGCGGGATATGTTTCCATGAGTTGATTTTCGGAAGGCTATTGTTTCCGGAAAAAATAATGAATTGGTGTTTTGCAGCGGCCACGGTAGCCGAATTAGAAGACATGATCCACTCCCAAAACCAACTCATGGATAAACTGTCCACTGAATGTCACGCTCTTACCGAAAAATTGGAAGACGCTAGTGTCAGACATAAGTAAGCATTCTTATTCTCACTTTTTTTATGAACGACCACCTCACGATTTCAGACTAACGAAACTTTATAACAACAATCCACCTTGCTATGAGATTAAACTTAGCAATATCAGAAATGTGTATTTTACCTATCTACCATATTATAGATTTCGTTCTCTGAATTCGACATCCCAGTACACTGAATATACAAGGTGTCCCGGAACATAGTACCATAAACTCTACAGGGTGATTGAGAGAAGAAAATGAGCCGATTGAAATCAACTTACCTCTAAACGAAAATGCACCGCTCCAAGCGATAAAAAAATGTGTTCCTTGATTTTCTTTGATATTTCGGAATCCTTGAAAAGTACTGCTCTGAAATTTGTAGCGCAATGTACTATAGTGAATGTGCATGGAGAACAGTTCGTACCATTTCAATTAAAATACAGAGTTAGATATTTCGCATTCTCTTTGATAAAAATTGATCTAACTTTTTTTAATACGCCACTGATCAAATTTTGATACTATAAAGAGTTTTGAAATGAATTCTCTCATTTTTTCTCAACTGTAGTTTTTTTATTATTTTCCTTGGTTTTCGAGGTGAATATCAAAATTAATTTTGATGCTTCTCCGTACGACTCGTTTATGATGTTACAATCATCATGTTTTGTTCGTTTCTACCTCATTTGTGTTGACTTATTGACCGCAATAATCATGTTTACCAATAGGCGAGTGGACTATTTATTTTATTCCTCAATTAGAATCATCACTCGAATACCTACCTCTCAATTTCATATTTTTTTAAGAATTTCTCGGTCGAGTAGAAACTGACGCCACGATTTCGTAAGTAGGGGCAGACCATAGCACATTTGCCTTGTGCTGAAATACGATGGGGAACATCAGAAATATCAGTTATTCGATAATTCATAAATTCTCAATCAAGTATTGATGATATTCCTAATGAGCAGTAAAAATACAATTGCCTCAAAATGTTTCCCTATGATTTGTGGCATTCTGCTCATAATACATTTGTGTAAACAATCATTATACAGGGTGGGCCACCAGTAACGCCTCGGTCTCTAGAAGGCTAACCACTTATCTTCTTGGAATTCTTCCTCTCTAGGAAGTTGCATGTCAACATAGGCTACCATTTAAAATTATTTCGAAACATACAGGGTGTCCCCAAAAACCATAAAACACTGAAGTTAAACTTTTTTCTATCAAACACCCTTTATATTATTTCATTTTAAGATTCTCCCTGGTGATCTGATTTCAACAATCCATCATACTTGGGGTCTAGTCTAGTCTAAAGTACTTTATTTTTTTATAGCCACTATGATTTGAAAATTGGCAACGTTATGCATAAGATGTGAGTGCATCAATATTTTTAAATCAATTTCACTCGAAAATGATACACCTGATCGATGAGGAACAAGAGTACATTTTTTCGTGAAACAGTGTGAGTTTTCATAATCCGAGATTGAATTGTAAAAAAATATGCATACAAAGAAGTTCGAGCAATATTTATTGTAGTCCCACCCTGTATTATACACTCCTGAATGAAACTTTGAAATGATTTTATGTTCACCGCATTGTGCATGGTAAGTTTAGTTCTTGTACCGCATTGCATCATTTTATCACGTGGCGTTTCGGAAATATTCAAGAAATATCATCTTCAGGAGCCCCCTCTCAGGGGGCCGTAGCTCCCTTAGGGGAAATTTCTTGACTCATATTCATTGAAACTTTTCTTCCTAATTTTGGTCTCAGAAGCCGCTGGTGGAGTTTGGCAGGTTAATTTTGGGACACCCTGTATAATATTTTATAATATCATATATAATGTTTTATTCAACATCTCTTTGATAACTTGATTATAATTGGTGACTTTCATTTATTCGACGTATCGTCAAATGGCGGCCATGACGATTCCTTTGAAATGAGCTCTAAAATTCAACAATTTCGAAAAATGCATAGACTCATTATTCACTTAGAATAACGTGGGAAGTGGTACAAAATGCAAAAATTAATTTAGGTTCCTAACGACACAGTGGAGTAATTGAATGCCAATAATTCATCATCAGTCCACTCGCCCTCTTCATTATAAGATTTGGGAGCTGGTCATTTCCAAATTTAATTTTAAGATTCCTGGTGGAAAAACTTTATTCGAGAAAACATAAATAAACTTGGAAATGACCAACAACATTATCATGTGCTGAAGTAGTTCATAAACATGATTATTGTGGTCAATAACTCAACACAAATGAGGTTAAGATTTGAAAAACATTATAATCGTCATAATCATGAACTAGTATAGAGGAGCACCAAGATGAAATTCATTAGATATCTCGAAAACCAGGGCAAATTATGAAAACATTGCAGTTAGAAAAAAGTGAGATGATTGATTTTGTCATTCATCGAAATATCAGAATATCGTCGGTGCCGTACTCCAGAAAAAGTTACATCAACTTTTACCAAGGAGAATGCAAAATACCCAACTACCTGTAAAGAAAATCTAGGAATGAAATTGTTCTTCATCGGCGCCTTCTCACCGCTAAACTGTGCATTTTCGTATAGAGGTAAGTTGATTTCAATCGGCCTAATTTCGTCTGTAGTTCACCCCGTAAAATTTATGGTACTTTGTTCTGGGACACCTTGTATTTACGCATCTGAAACTTTATATTGCAATTTCTTGACTTTATCAAAACCACTTTGATTTAGACATATAAGTAGGTACATACATTGTATAGCAATGTTTTCCACGTCACTAAGATACCTTTAATATTATGTTCTGGGCGAGTGGACTGAATAAATTATTGGAATTCAATTACTCCACTGTTCCAAACGAACCGTCATGGCTGCCACGTCAAATAAATGATGAAGTTGATTTTTATACTGTTGCGTTATTGGTCATATAATCTTTCATTTCCTCTCATGAAGCAATAAGGTCCTCAAGTCACCAATTATAATCAAGTTATCAAAAAGATGTTAGAATCCTGTCGTTAAATAAAACATAATAGGAGGAACCCATCATATTTACAGTTCATTCTTGACTTTTGAGCAACCAGCATGTCCAAATATTTCTTATTCTCCATAACAAAATACCATGTAAGTGTTGAAAACTTGGCAACATTATGCTGAATGCTGAGAACTGACAAGACCACGCCCACAAGTCCTGCGCCGTGTTGTCACGTTCACCGAATCAAATGTCCTCTAGTAATCAATATAATTATCATTCACACAAATTCATTATAAGCAATAAGCCACAAATGATAAGGGAGGGTTTTCAGACAATTGAAATTTTATTGCTAACTAGGAATATTACCAATACTCAATTGAGAATTTATGAATGATTGAATAACTAATATTTCTGAAGTTCCCAATCGTATTTCAACACATGGCAACTGTGCCCCTACTCAGGAAATAGTGGCGTCAGTTGTTACTGGCGGTAAATCTCTAGCCGTTTGAAAATTACCGTGGCATCATCGATAATTTTAGCACCTGAAAATCGACCAAAAAATTCTAAAGAAATATGTAATCAGAAGGTATTTGAGTGATGATTCTATTTAATACATTAAAAAAATAGTCCACTCGCCAATTCTTGTACATTGAATAACTTCGATGGTTAAATGAAGATGTTTCAGTTGACAGCTTGACTCGGAATATGTTTCAGATACGTTACCAACAATGTTTACTGGGATTGTAAATACAAATTCGCTTCCTTATTCATTTATGAACTGCTGATTAATTGAATTGTTGCAAATAAAAAGTCATCATCCGATAGAATACTAGATAATTATTATTGTTGTCACATCGATAATAACCCAGTTGCTCTGAATATGTTTTTTCACTACCTATATTCATTTCCAATGGGTAAGTTCATCAGAAATTTGCATTATACATTACGTTTTTGCCAAGCCGTCCTTACCAGTGACACAAATAGGAAAAAGACAATTTAAGAATACATTTCCTTTCTTAAAATGTACAAGGTGAATTACCATAAATGCCCCCCCTCCTCTAGCCCACGTATTATTGAACCGATTTCATATTTTGAAAAATCATCTGGAATGATCGTACACTCTTTTTCGCTACATTGGAAAATAGATGATGCTCGAGACAAACGAGACAAACAACAACAAAACATGTATGTATATTTCTTTGCATTTTCAGATTATTCCTGAAGAGCTAATTTCATCAATATATCACACAAGGGTCTAGTACAGGGTGGCCCAAATTTCGTTGTCCCACTATTGCTATCTCTGAAACGGTTAGAGATAGAAAGTTGGTTAAATGGAACAAAAGTTGCACATTTCGGGGGACATAAGAATTATGTCAAAAAATCAACGATATCATGAGCCGTTTCCGAGATAATTGAGAAAAAACAAAATTGTCGATTTTCGTTTTCAGGCGCTAGCCCTTTCATTTCGGGAAATAGAAAAAAACCACACAGACATTTTCTCTTCTATTTTATATGTTCTTTAATCTGGTTATATCAGATTTTTGATACAACGTTTCGTTCATCCAGGGCCACCCTCAACTTTTTTTTTAAATACAGACCTGATTTTTTCTTCTTAATAAATTCGCCTTTCCATTCTGTATACAGACATGTATCACACTATGAGTATAACCCCACTAATATCATTTTGAAAAAGGTAAAGCCAAAAAGTCAACATTTTGAAATACGGACCTGATATATTTTTTAATAAATTCGCCTTCTCAATCTGTATACAGACTCTCTGTATTTTTTGCATTTCTGTCGCTACCTTCATCATGTACAATAATCGATTATGATTATTGCTTCATGATAATAATAATATTTCAAATCGCCTAACAAATTTGGAATCGAACAATTTCTTTATAAGGACAATCTTGGAAGAATGTTGCGTTGAACCACCAGAACAATGCATCGGATTTTGTCAAGTAGGCTAATAGCAAGTAAGTCGAAACAAATGTCAATGTTTGACATCTTGTTAGTTATCGTAATGCCTCAAATGTATTCCACTGACGAGAAAAGAGATATGTATGAAA